GATTCAATGTTTATATGTTTCCGCTTTTATTCTAAATATTGATATGTGGGTTTTAAGGACTAAGTTCCTTTGTGGTGATTTACCCTTTGTTGCATATCCTTATGAGCAAGTGTTGTGTGTGTTTTGAATTTCCTGGATAATGTGACGTGCCTCTTTTATACCATGTGTTAATTTATACTCTGATGAAAATTTTTATTAAGTGCCTAAATGATTTAATTGTTTTATTTGGGGGTATAGAAAGGGGGTGTTACATTAAGTGGTATCAGAGCCAGTGTTGAGTCAGTTGAACGGTTGTTTAACCTTGTTGTTATTTTTGGGAATCATCAGAATATGGCTGGTCGTAATGACAATGCTATGGCTGCGGCGTTGGAGGCTATGGCTAGGGCGGTGCAAGGTGCACTAAATGTGAACACTAATGATGAGTTTAGAAAGAATCAGTCGCCGGTATTCAAGGGGAGGTTTGATCCGGACGATGCTGAGATCTGGTTGAAGGAGATTGAGAGAATCTTTAGAGTTATGGGATGTGCTGAAGGAAACAAGGTGAGACTTGGAACTCACATGTTGAGAGAAGAGGCCGAAGACTGGTGGGTCGGTATGAGACAAGTTCTTGAGGTGGATGACGAAGAAATAACTTGGGATTTATTTCGTACCGAATTCTTGAGGAAGTATTATCCTGAGAGTGTAAAGGGGAAAATGGAAATGGAATTTCTTGAGCTGAAGCAAGGCAATACGTCCGTGGTGGACTACACGGCTAAGTTTGTGGAATTAGTTCAGTTTCATCCTCATTATGCGGCGATTACGGTGGAGTTCTCTAAGTGCATTAAGTATGAGAATGGCTTGCGTCCTGAGATAAAGCAAGCGGTGGGATACCAAAGAATACAAAGATTTTCGGACTTGACCGAATGTTGTAGGATTTTTGAAGAGGACAACAGGGCTTGATCTACTCATTATAAGAGTTTGAGTGAGAAGAAAGGTAAGCAACAAGTAAGGGGTGGACCTATTGATTCCAGCGTGATCCCAGCGTGGAGAGTCCCAAGAAATCTCATCAAGTAGCTGACACACAACAACCTATTGATTCCAGCATGATCCCATCTTCACCGCATGATCGGATTGTGATTTCCAAGACCTCACCATCACCGTCCCTTTACCTGCCTCGTGATGTGAACCTACCATCCCTCATTAACTCTTCAGCGCCACCTGCCTCACATGCAGCCTTCCTTATTCAATACGTGTCAGCACCTATTCCCTTCTCTCATGCAAATCTCAGCCCCCGTCCTTTATCCAAGTGAGCAAGTTCTTTCCTTAAACCCACCACACATTCTAAGCCCAACCTTGAGGACAAGGTTGTTGTTGAGCCGGATAGTATTGTTAGCAGACCCATACGAACTAAAGCCCAGCCAAAATGGATGAAGGATTATGAGATGTAATTGGTTGTCTCATTTATTTAACTCTGCATATTTTTAGTTTTGGGCCTAGTCTTTTGTAGCCCATTTAAGATTATATTTGTATTTAAACCTTGCTACCCCTCTTAGAAGGAGACAAAAATATCAAGACATTTATTAGTATATCCTTTTTTATCTTTTCTTCTAGTTGTGCTGACTTATGAAGAAACCCTAGATCCTTTGAAATTATTGTTGAAAATCCCCCTTCTATCAAAAGGCCTCTATGTGGCCAAGCCTATCATGAGAAAAACATTTATAAACAGAGCAATTTAATTTCTTCCTATTAAAGTCTTTACTATGTAATCTACTATATTTAAATCCTAATATAGTTTTATTCAAGGAAGGCCTTTGATTTCATAGAACCAAATCTAGGTTTTATTTCTCCTTAATCAATTTACTTAGAGTTTCATGCAGATTTTTTACTTCCTTTTTCATCAAGATACAAGTCTCACATTTACCGGTTTTGTTTCTAAGTTTAGTTATTTCATATCTTAGCGTTTCATTGTTATTCTCTAGAAAATCAATGTAGTCTTTAAGATCTACGTTACACATTTCAATATTATCATGTTCCTCAATTAAATTAGCATTTTTAATTTAAATAGTTGCTTATGTGAAAGAGTGACCTCAAAATCACCTTCCTCGCCAAAAGCTTTTAGGAAAAAAATTTCATCATCTTGGCTGGAAGAGGATTCTTCCAGAGGTTGATTCTTCAAGATTTCTCCTTGATGTTAAGTTTCTGAAAATATTGCTCGTTGAGACTTCTTTTGAAGATTCCACAAGATGCAACTTCTTAATCTTTATATTCTCTTTTTAATGAATTTTCTCCCTTGGATGTTAAATCTTCCAAGGACCGCTCAATCACTGAGATTCTTCTTTCAAAGGATACTACTGGAGTTGACTTTTCTTTTTCTTCTTCAAATAAGTTCTTTGATAAAGTTTCTAGAGATTATTCTAGGTTTCAACTCATCCCTTCATCTTTTAACAGTTGAATCAACTCAATAATTTTCTCGATGATTTCTTCCTTCTTGGATTTTTTAAAATTAAAATTGTAAACATTTGCATCTCTCGATTTAAGGATAAGATCAAGTTTTCGACTCCAATTATTAAATTTTAGATATTTGTTAGCAATGAACATTCTAGCATGTCTTCGATTATTTCTATAGGTTGAAATTATTTTGTGAAAGTAACATTCACATTCACCTTCTTTGCATCACGTGTTCATTCCCTCTTGTTCGATACTTAGAGATACTTCATAGATCATTTCAAGTGTGTCTTGAATTTCCTTGGTGGAATTACAATTAAAGACATAAAGAAATTAATTTTCATTTAAAGGCATGATTAAAAAAATTTGCGTGCGAGCCGCCGAGCGCTCGTCCGTGCATGCGTGCAGGTTTGTTTGTGCGCACATGTGTGTTTTCGCGTGAGCGTGTGCGTGTACGTGTGTGTGCGTATGTGCGTGCGTGTGTGTGCGTGCGTGCGTGCATGTGTGTGTGCACGCGTGTGTGTGTGCGTGTGTGCATGTGTGTGCGCGCGCACATGCAAGCGTGCATGTGTTCGCGTGTGCGTATGTGTATACGTACGTGCGTGCGTACTTGCGTGTGCATGTGTGTGATTTAGCCATAATATTTCCAAAAATGCCATTGTGTTTTTACAATACTGTAGTCACTCATACGAACATGATCATGCAAGTTTTCACACTTACTCTCTTTCATAACTCTAAAGCTTCAAGTCTTGGCATCATTATCTTTGACTTTAGCATCACTTAAGAACCTTGATCTTTTTTACGAGGCTTGAGATATTTCTATGTTGAATATCATCATTTGAGAGTTTGAAAGGTTAAATCACTGGTGATCCTAAGTCTTCACTTGAGAGTCGTTGGACTACAATGTTGACTTTAAATATATGTCTAACTTGATTTAGGAGGATAGCTTGATTAACCATCTTGTGCATCTTTGAATGCTTGAGATATCTTTAACAATTGTTTGACTTCAAATGTTGTCATCATCAAAACTAAGCAGCCACTAGTTGACTTGCATCTTTGTTGTCCGTAAGCTTCACCGTAATGGATCACTTCTTAATTATACATGCAAGCACGTAGATCCAAATGTTGTGGACATTTAGATGATACATGACCCATTTCAGGCGACTCATAATTTCGCGGGGCAGCTTGCCATTCACCTGTGTGTTTGGCTTTCCACATACTATCCCCACTTAAAGCTCAATAAAATTATACCAGTACACAATCCCTTAGGCATGAGGGATTCGAAAAAGGATGAAGTAGTTTAATTCAGGAAGAACATGATTTATTTCTCGACACAACTTTAAGTTAAGTCCCTCAGACGAGAATTTAAGTTGAGTTCCTCAGACAATACTTTAAATTGAGTCCCTTGGACAAGAATTAAGTTGAGTCCCTCAGGAGAGAATTTAAGCTGAGTCGCTCATGCAATACTTTAAGTTGAGTCTTTTGCGAAAGACTTTAAGTTGAGTCCCTCGGGCGAGACTTTAGGTTGAGTCTCTCGGGTGAGACTTTAAGTTGAGTCCCTTAGGTGAGACTTTTGAGTAGAGTCCCTCAGGCGAGACTTTTGAGTAGAGTCCCTCAGGAGAGACTTCAAGTTGACTCCCTCAGACGAGACTTTGAGTTGAGTCCCTCGGATGAGACTTAAACTATATCCCTTAGGTGAGATTTTTGAGTCGAGTCACTTAGGTAAGACTTTAAGTTGAGTTCCTCATACGAGATCTTAAATCGAGTCTCTCGGATGAGATTTTTAAAAAGGAGAGTTTGTACAATTATTAGGCGGCTGATTTCGTACTGTTTGTTTCATTGTCTCGTCAAAGAGATTATGTAACACTGTCTTTCAGGATTTATTATTAACAACATATTGGTATTGGTACGATCTGCCCTATTTCATTCATAACTCATTCATATTTCTTCGTAATTTTCATTAGTTCCAAGGCATATTTTACTATGTCGTTTTGAGCGAACATGTTTTATAAATAGATCGAAACCAGGGAGAAGGTAGTTATTAGCTCAATGGTGAGACTAGTGCTGGAATGTGTCTCGGCCAGTTTGGTAGAGCTTGAGCCCATCAAGACAATAAAATAGTAGTAGTTGATTATAAGGGCATGAAACTTGAATTTGATGGACTTTGTAAACAGATCAAATAGTTTGGTTACTAGTTGGATTGTTTACTAACAAGAGAGAATGTTTCTTGTTGTGTTTAACAGTTTCTCTCTACCTATTTTTAACTCTGATATCTCGTAGTTGTCTTAAAAATATACTACATAGCAAGACATGCTAAGGGCTTGCAGAACATTTTCTTGTACTCATATTTGATACATCAACAAGATAGGTGTAACATTCTAGTAGGCACTTTCCTAACAATGATCAAAATATCATTCACACGTACCATCTATACAAGAAGACTTACATTAAGTGAGTGAGTAAACAATCACTCATAATAACTATCAAGTCCATAATCAAAATATATTGAAAACTTCCTTCAAAAATTGAAAGTTTTCCACCACTTTCATGTGATGAATGGAAAGTTCAAGGGAATTTCATGACTTAGGATGAGCTAGTTTATGATCCTTAAGAAATTCAACAACTCTTCTCATTGAAGGTCTGCTAATTGGAAACGCAGAGGTACAAAGTAGAGCCACATTCAATACCTTTTCAACTTCTTCATAATCACTAGTGTCTAAGTTCAATCTTGGGTCCACAATCTGTGTCACAACACAATCTTCAACTCCTTCATGAGATGTTGATAAAGCAATCTCAGTGACCCACTTCACAATATCTTTGTTCTCACCAAAACACGAGTCATTTGGCCTTTTCCCAGTTATTAATTCCATCAGCACCACGCCAAAACTATACACATCACTCTTCTCCGTCACTTTCAATGTATAGCCATACTCTGCAATCGAATCAATTAGGTGTTAGATATTATAAAGCACTTAAACAACAACAGACGGAAGAATACACTGATAATCACATGTGTCACATATCAGACACCAGACACATTTTTGATAAAAATTGTGGGTGCTTCAGATGCTAAATTAATAGTAATTCATAAACAAGTAACTAAAACATACCGGGAGCAATGTAACCACATGAACCAGCAATTCTAGACATAGCGTCTTCACTTCCTTGAATTTGCAATGTCTTCGCTAGTCCAAAATCAGCGACCCGAGGTACAAAGTCATGATCAAGCAATATGTTATTACTCTTCACGTCCCTATGAACAATAGCAGGAACACAATCATGGTGTAAGTAAGCCAACCCTTGAGCCGCACCGAGAGCAATTCTAAATCTCTTCGACCAATCCAACAACTCATCGCACTTTTCCTCATGCAAAACATCACCTAAACTCCCATTCTCCATATACTCATAAACCAATATTCTGAAATCATCAGAACTACAACAAAACAAAAGTTTCACTATATTAGCATGTCGAATTCTACCCAATGTTTCAATCTCTGACTTAAAAACCAATTCCATCTCAGGTTTCTGTCTTCCATTTCCACCCCAAAGTTTTTTCACTGCAACTACTTGACCTGTTTTCACCTTCACTTTATAAACCAAACCCGACCCGCCTCTTCCGATCAAATTCTCATTTGTTAAAAATGGAATTATATCTTCCTCATTGAACCCAACTCTCTGAAAAGAGGTTGTCGTAAAAGCCCGTTTCGATTTTCCAACAAAAGATTTCGACTTTCTCTTCAAGAACCACAAAACAGAAGCAAAAATCAACACAACAGAACCAACTAAAACAATTATAACAACAGCAGAAAAGGGTTTGTGTTTTGAACAAGGACTAATGGTTTTCATCACATTGCTGCATAAACTCGGGTTACCCGTTAAACCCGACAAATAAACTTGACTGTTAAAAACGGAAGGAACCTCTCCGGACAATTTGTTATCAGAAACGTTGAACTGATTCAACTTCAGGTTCGTTAACTCCACCGGAATCTTCCCTGTTAAAAAGTTAACAGAGAGATCAAGATATATTAAATCAGGTAAATTCCCAAGTTCCGGTGGAATTGAACCGGTGAACTGGTTATGCGACAAGTTTAGCTCCGTTAATTCAGTCCAGGAAGTTACATTACCGGGAATCTCGCCGGTGAAACTATTCTCCTGCATTTTAAGCTTCTGCAACTTTTTCACACCGGTTATGCAGGTAGGAACTTCACCGCTGAACCGGTTATTTCCAATATCCAATTCAACTAGCTCAACAAGTTCGCAGACTCCAACCGGAATCTCACCGGAAAACCTGTTACCAAATAAAATCAGTTTTGTGATTCCTCGAGAGACTGAACCAGAGATTGAACCTTCCAACTTGTTGTGATCCATTTTCACAACATCAAGCTCCGGAAGGTTCCAGAATTTCAGTGGAACCCAACCAGAGAATTCGTTATTCTCAATTCTTACATAAACAAGAGAATCACAGTCTCCATACTCATCAGGAAGAGAACCAGAAAATCCATTTTTGAATGCTACAAGTCGCTGAAGTTTCTTCCTTATGCAGAGAAACTCGGGTAACTCTCCGGTGAAGTTGTTCGTTGAAACATCGATATTTCTTAATGCAGAGTTTCTTCCAAGATCTTGTGGTAGCTTCCCTGAAAAGCTATTGTTGAAAAGACTCAGATTAAGCAAGTTTGTATTCAAAGCTAAACTTTCTGGAATTTCTCCACTGAGAAAATTGTCATTCAAGTTAAGTATAGAAAGATTCAATGAACCGAGTTCTTGAGAAAATTTTCCGGTGAGTGCATTCTGAGAAAGGTCTAAGAGAGACAAACTTGTGAGGTTTGATAAACCTTGTGGAATTTCACCGGAAAGATTGTTATCGAAAAGTATAATTCGTTTCACATTTTTCATACCAGAAATTGCGTATGGGATTTTACCAGACAAGGAGTTTCGAGACAAATCGAAGTTTTCGATGGAAATAAGGTTTCCAATGGAATTTGGTATGTTACCTACGAGGTTTATGTCGGAGAGGTAGAGATATTGTAGCTTAGTGAGGTTTCCTAGTTCTGAAGGTAAAGAACATGGTTTCATTGTTTCGGTATAGGTGAGTTCGAAATGAGTTAACTCACTGAGGTTACCTAAGAATGAAGGAATCGTTCCGGTGAAAAGGTTTGAAGATAAAATGAGAATTTTCAGTTGAGGAAACCGGCCGAAGCTCGCCGGAATGTTGCCGGTGAAGTTGTTTAATGAAAGGTCGAGTACTCTTAGTTGGAAGGTTTCTGAGTTGAATTCCGGCAAGTTTCCGACGAATAAGTTGTCGGAGATGTTTAACAAATGAAGCTTAGAACATGGTAAGATGGAGTGTGGGGAGATTGAGTTTCCGAGAAAGTTGACAGCAAGAGAAAGGTTTTGGAGAGATGGAATGCGACAGAAGTTGAAGGGAAAATCTCCGTAGATACCGATTTCGGAGAGGTCGATGGAAACCACTGATCTGTTTCGTGAGTCGCAGGTTATTCCTGTCCAGTTACAAGGATAGTGTTGGGTGTTTGGAAGCCAATCTTTGAGACTTTTGTTTTGGTCGTTGATTTGTGTGTTTTTGACATGAAGAAGAATTTCATAGTCTCTTGAGAGTGAAAAGGAGTTTGCATTTGAACATAGTAGTGAAAAAATAAGAATGAGAATGAGTTTTTGTTTTTCCATGTTGTAGAATTTTGGTAGAGGATGAAAATGGGGAAGCTTTGTAGTTGAAGTTTATAGAGTTTGAGACTTGACTGACACAATTTTTATTGGTTTTTCTCGTGAAGATAGTTTGTGTTATTCATGCATGAAGATAGGGACAGTTCTTCACAAGATTCACTTTAGTTGTTGAGGTAGTAACAAAAAGTGGTCTTTTTTTTGGGAGAAAATTGTGTAGTTCAATTAATGTTAAAGAGGTTGGAAAGTGATTTGGATTGGGTTACTTTTGAAAATGGGAAAAGGCAATAAGAGTTTTGCATGAAAAATCAGAAATGGAGAAGAAGACATAGGAAGAATAATTTTTGGATTGGATAAGGATGTCAATTTGGGAGAAGCTATGAGGTGTGAAACATTTTTGGAGATGATTTGATGAACATTGTTGAATTGAATTGGATATGGGAGAAGCAATACTGTTTGTTCTTGTCTCTTAGTTGAAGAGTGGTAGGTAGGTAGCTACAGTGAGAATATTTTGGTTAGGAGAATAAGGAATGGTGAATTCTTAGAAGGGAAAGTGACATTAATTTATGTTCAATTTTCAAGGATATCGAAAGAAAGAAACAAAAGTTAATGGTTGAGAAGAATCTGTTCCCTCTGGCTGGCTCTACGTCGCCGTGAAGAATCAGCTATCTTTTCACCTTCATTTATAATGTTTCAAGGACGGTAATTAATGAGCATCACTACTTTGATTCCACTTGCCATTATTTATATGGTAAGATAGATCGACAACTCGAAAGATTTTAAAGTCTCACATTAATTGGAGATAAAACATTGAAATAGTTTATATATAATGACACTCCTCACCCTACTAACCGATTTTGTAAGATTGTGTTAATCCAAACTCTAATATGATATCAGAATCTATCGATCGGACCTTGGTCGCTACGCTCCTCCTTTGTCATTTTTGTTGTGTCTACTAGTCATACTCAACAATTTTCATTTTTGACGAATATTTAATTCTTATGAAGATTTTTTACATGACATGTAGATCTTGGAAATTAGGAGCTACAATATCTACTTATCCCTGAAAAACCTGTAACATATTAAAATAATATTTGAATTTATCACTGGTGACTAATTTAATTAATATAGAATGTGATACACCTGGTTATTTGTCAAAGAAATGACATTATGATTATCATCATGCAAATGAATTTTACATTGTTCATCACTCAATTCTCTAATCAATCATATTATTGACGTGGACCGGCCCAATTAAATTGAAGACCAAATTTTAATTTAAAAATAAATTAAAATTAAAAAAATTACAATTATAATAATTAAAAATAATACATAAAAATATAATTATATATTAATAAAAAATATTTAATTATAATTATTTTTACTTTGATCAATTTCATTTTTTAAGTATATTGGGTTTTTATTATAGTATTTTTTTGATTTATTTGATTTTTTAATAATATTTTTTATATTTATTAATATTAACGTATAAAAATTGGATTTTTTTAAAATTTGGAATCTGTACTATAGAGTCTCTGTTTCTGCACATGGTCGATCCTATTACCTATAAAACCTCTTTAACAACTTCAGTTACCGTCATTAGTATGTTTATGTTATAGACATATTTACTGTGAATTGAATTGATTATTTTCAACAAATAGGTCTACCTGTGAAAGAGTAAAGGCATATAATGTCATAGACTATCATTTATCCATATCAACATATTTTATAATCAAATGATCACTTTATCAACTACTAAGCATGGTACTCTGACTCATTGCATCATTTAAGTACTTGAAAGTTCAATTGGCTGCTTCTTGATAACACTAACCTAGTTTGGATGTAAATTTGTTTTACCTCAAACGATATCATATATTAAACAAGCAATAGCACTAGTATACATAACCTTTGATATATATATATATATATATATATATATATATATATATATATATATATATATATATATATATATATATATATATATATATATATATATATATATATATATATATATATATATATATATATATATATATATATATATATATATATATATATATATATATATATATATATATATATATATATATATATATATATATATATATATATATATATATATATATATATATATATATATATATATATATATATATATATATATATATATATATATATATAGTTTTTACATTTGTCTTTGGACATTATCTAATGAGAGTTTAAATTGATTCACCAAATAAAGTATTAACAAATTTTGAATTGTTTATGTCGAATTTTCTCACACTTTTTAAATATAACTTTTTTATAGAGCCATCTCATATATGTTATATATGAACTTCTATAATAAAAATCTACTTAACCACACTTAAGTCATTCATGCCAAACTCTTTTTTCAACAATATTTTAGTTTCATTTATACCATGAAAATGCTTAGAAACAATCAACATATCATTCACATATAATAAAAGGATAATAAAAGAACTTTCATTAAGGCTCCTAATATAAACAAAAGTCATACTCACATCTTATATAGTAAGTTTGAAGTATAAATCAACATTTGTTCCAATATTTCTTTATTCTCATTAACATTTTTATTTCTAGCATATTAGATTCTAGAGGTTATAATTAGAATTGAATCAAGAGTTTTTTTTTTCTTTCTTCCAACATATCCCAAAGCCAATCCTTAGTTCACATTTTTGCAAGACGTGAAGTTTAAATTTAAGGATGACACAAATCAAATATGAGTTGCTTAAAGATGTAGTGTAACAAACAATTAGGAGTGGACAAAACCCGGCTACTTAATCCAAATTGCCTGACAACTAAGGATGGTTTAATATGGGCGAGTCAGGTAAAAAATGTTAGAATTAAATCATTAATCATCGGTCGAATATACATGCTCAATAAAATGCAGAAACTAGATATTCATACAAGCATGTATTATGTTAAAAGACCTACAAATTAATTTTAAGAATATCTGAATCTATTAAAAAAAATTCATTTGACGGTAATCCTAAAACTCAAGAGTTGATGGTTTTTGTGGTTCTTTCTCAACCGATACAGTTAGGGATGAAAATAGGTCAGGAGAAGAGATAATTTGTTTGTATACAGTTAAGGGTGAAAATAGGTGGAAATAGATCAGGAGAAGAGATAATTTATTTGTATACAGTTAAAGGTGGAAATAAGTCAGACCAATAACATAGACCGAAGGGCCTAGCCTACACAGGCTCAGACCAGACCAAATTTTTTTTTAAAATAGAAAAGGTCTAAACTTTTTTATAAGCCTGAGGAAGATTATATCTATGTTGTCACCATAATCTTACTAAATAGTATTAGAAAAAATAAAGAATGAAAAATAAAGGTCACAAAGAGAACACTATTATTTTCTATTAAAAGCATTTTGTTATTGTATAGTTTAATAGAGATAACTTCTTTGTATTTAGGAAGGATGAAGTTTGTCACATATTAATTTCATGACATCATAGATGTAACCTTGTCTTCTTTTCCATATAGTTTAGTGAAAGAGAAGTTTGTAACAAACTCTCTCCTTAGTTATGTATTAGTTTAGTTGGTCATAGATGTTTGTAAGGGAATAACAAATTTTCTTCTTAGTATAAAACCAATATGTAACAAACTTCAGAATCAATGAAAAATGACTCTACCCTAATGAATGAGAGAAAGTCTAATGGCTACACTACACATTGTGTATCATTCATAGCTGTGTACTATGGTTTTCAATATTCAAGAACATAATTGCAAACTTTCTCATATAATCGTCTCTCCGATAAAATTGTAAATCCTCTTATCCACAATTGCACTCTTTACAATAAAAAAGTGTAAACCTTTTTAACTATAACTTTTGCACTAAAAGATCACAAATTTTCTCAACTATAACTTTTACATAGAAAAGTTACAAATCTTCTTATAAAACACAATTACTCAAGGTTCATTATACTTCAAGACTAGAGTTGTTGTAAAAAAAAAACTAAAATAATATTCGTTTACTTATATTAATATTTCATTTCTTCTTTTCTTCATAAATTTTTTATTTAGCGCAACAGTCTAATCCATAAACAGATTTAAATACCAAAATATAATGAAAGCTGATATGCTCCAAATTATCAAACCACTCATTCACACAATCATAAATGTTGGTAACTTTAAATTTGAAATCAGACAAATTTATATTTTAACCAGGATTTCACCATGGACCCTTGAGCAACAAAATTATTACAACATCTACAAAAGAATGAATAGCATAGAAAATAGATGCATTTTGTTGACTTCAATGCTGTACAACCGAATCCTAGTACAATTGCATTTTGTCGGTGACTTTAGTTTCCCATTGAACTTAAATAAGGTGAGAAACACATTTGCTAGTGGGTCGAGAAAGTTCATCATTTAGTTATTGAACATAGTAAACGACATCCCTATAAATTATTGAAAATAGTAAACGACATCCCTATCTTTACATGTCATGAAGCACTAGTATTGAACATGGTAAACACCATCTTTATGACCCTAAAATGTATCATAGAATAACTTTCAATCACAATAAAAAAGAAGAATTAGTTGAACTAACTAAGCCATTTGGTTAATGATGTGATTCCTATTATTGTGACTGCTAGTACTAGTAGTTTAAAACGAGTACTATTCCTAAGTTATTATGTTAATAACTGTTGCTAATCAATAAACCTATAAAAGCAACTAAAGAGGACATTGTAGTCTTCTATTTAAGACTAACTTTTTTGAATTGGACATCATAGATTAATAATATTATGGTCACTAAGTCATTGGATTGGACTCCTTGGTCACTTATTGTTCAAAATTAAATGTTTTGTAGCATTTTTTTAATAGGAATGTTATGTAGCACTTTGTCTTTTCTAGAGTTATGTTGTGCTATATGTACGTCATGTCTATGTGCAAAAGTGAAACAAATGCTACAAAATTTGAATTGTTTTGGCATGTGTGTCCTCTAGTTACTTCGAATTACTATTATAAATCAC